CCTTCCTTCCTTCCTTCCTTCCTTCCTTCCTTCCTTCCTTCCTTCCTCTCTCTCTTTCCACTTAGCGCTTAAGATTTATGTACCGCTTCACAGGGCTTTTCAGCCCTTTCTAAGCGGTTTTTACAGAGTCAGCATAGTTGCCCCCAACAATCTGGGTCTTCATTTTACCCACCTCAGAAGGACGAAAGGCTGAGTCCAACCTAAGTCAACATAAGCGTGAAAAACAGCCATAAGTCATTTTTCCCCTTTGTAACCGTTGTAACTTTGAATGGTCACCGAAGGAATGGTTGTAAGTTGAGGACTACCTGTACGTGGTGCTTCTTGGCAGGGCTTATCCTGAAAGTGGGGTCCAAAAGTCAAAAGCCTTTCCTTGAGGATAATTCAGAGCATGGGAGCAGGTTTCGAATGCAGATCTGCCCGGCCCTCCTTCAAAGCCATTGATGGTCCTTCCCAGAGATGGTCACTTGGAGGGGGGGGGGTGTCTCCTGCTGCTCCAGCTCTAACCACTACTCCACTCAGCCCTGCGTGCCCGAGAGCCCATACCTGGCTTGCATTAAAAAAAAATTGAGACTCTAGAAAGTCTGCAGAGAAGATCCACAAAGATGATTAAGGGACTGGAGGCTAAAACATAGGAAGAACGGTTGCTGGAATTGGGGATGTCTCATTTAATGAAAAAAAGGACTAGGGGTGACAGGACGGTAATCTTCCAATATTTGAGGGGCTGTCACAGAGAGGAAGGGGTCAAATTATTCTCCAGAGCCCCTGAAGGCAGGACAAGAAGCAACGGATGGAAACTCATCAAGGAGAGAAGCAACTTAGAACTAAGGAGGAATTTCCTGACAGTGAGAACAATTAATCAGTGGAACAACTTGCTTCCAGAAGTTTATTTATTTCTTTTATTTATTTAGTTTTATTTGTCAATTGCTTACAAGATAATAGGTATAAGAATAAACATAGTTATGAATACATGAAATGGGTACATATAAGAAAAATAAAAGAAACAATACAACAGGGACAGCGCTTATGCACACCCCCTACAGACCTCTTAGGAAAGGGGTGAGGTCAATAGTAGACAGTCTAAAATTAAAGTTTTTGGGGTTTGGGGAAGAAACCACAGAGTCAGGTAGAGTATTCCAGACATTGTTGCTGAAGTCGTATTTCCTGCAATCAAGTTTGGTGCGGTTAACCTTGAGTTTGTATCTATTGTGTGCTCTTGTATTGTTATGGTTGAAGCTGAACTATTCATTGACAGGAAGGACATTGCAGTGTATGATTTTATGTACTATACTTAGATTGGATTGAAGGCGTCGTTGTTCTAGGCTTTCTAGGTCTAGAGTTTCGTTTAGAAGTTGTGGGTGTTCCAACACTGGAAGTCTCTAGAGATTCTCAGTCATCTTAAGGCAGGGTTGTCCCAAAGGTGATTTTTTTCAAGAGACAACTGGAGTTTCTTGCTTCTTCTTTCGAAGACGTTTTGCTTCTCATCCAAGAAGCTTCTTCAGCTCTGACAGGATAGTGGCGAATGCAAGGATTTATACTCCTTGTTAGACACAGCTGGCTGTTGGCATTCTTTTAGAAAGTCATTGAGGCCCCTTGGAGGTTTATCTGTGTCCTTAGGGTGACCTGAGTGGTGCTCCTGGTTCCTGCAGTCTGCAATTTTTCCTCTGGAAATCCGTTCTTACTCCCACCCCATTCAAAGGGTGTTCATCCCAAATTGTGTCGCTCAAAGTCTGTTGAGATTCACAGTCATCCAGGTCAACACTGGAAGTTTTTAAGAGCTTGGATAACCACTTGTCTGAAATGGTAAAGGGTTTCCTGCCTGAGCAGGGGTTAGACTAGAAGACCTCCAAGGTCCCTTCCAACTCATCTATGTCTATGTTTATTCCTATTATATTTTATTCTACTCCTTATTCTTATTCTAATTCTAATTCTATTCTACTCTATTCTTACTATACTCTAATTCTTATTCTTATTCTGTTCTATTCTTTTCTACACTACTCAAAGTAGAGTAGAATTCTAAATAAGAATTCTATTCTATTCTACTACTCTACTCTAATTCTTATTCTTATTCTATTCTACTCTACATCTTATTCTATTCTATTCCACTCTTTATTCTTATTCTTATTTTATTTCTTTTCTGTTCTACACTAATTCTTATTCTATTCTATTCTATTCTATTCTATTCTATTCTATTCTATTCCACTCCTTATTCTTATTCTTATTCTAATTTTA